GAAATAGTTTCATACCTTTTTTTCATCGTCTGTGCAATGAATGTAGCCAACAATATCCGCTAAGAAAAGATCTCTCCGAATCGTGGTACATTTCCGATATATTCACCTTTTACCCGGTCTTTGTCAGATTGTTATGGTCGGTTGAACATTTGAACAAGCCAGATACAAAATGAGAAGTTTTTAGCACGAATCATGTTAAACGTATGCTCGAAACAGGTACCCTTCCTTCAGAATCTTATCTAGAAAAACAATTACAACAGAATCTCACATCAATGAATATTTACAAATGATACGGTTTCATCCATTTAATTAAGATCCAGGAAGTTCCTGAATGGATATGTTGCTAAGTTTCACTCGACGAAATATCTGTCACCATTGTTCAGGCCAGTGTTATTTGCTTATTAGAACAAGGATATTTATGTTGTCAAGATGTTTCTGATGGCAATTTTTCGTACGGCCTTGATACTGGTAAAAGTATTGATGAGGTTTACAAGGAATCGGATGATACAATGGTAGTTTTATATGATGAAAAAATGTAACTAACGGTGAACCATATTCTTTCAGTGTTGACTCTTGTAGTCCTGCTAATTTTACAAATGAATCTAGGTAATCGCCATTCTTGATTCGTAGATAGAATAAACAAGAGTATCATCTCACGTCGAATAATCGATATGTTCTGTTATCTGCGTCGTTTTCAGGGTTCCGAAACGGCATCCTTTATCTATCGACTTTGATAGCTTTACGTATTCAAGAGCAACAAGTGATCTCTCCAAGTCAAATAGAATGAAATCTTTTCCTCACTGAATCATCGACAGATGCAACAGACTGCAATTGCAGTCCGCATTCATGATACGAGATCAAAAATGTTCTTTTTATCAATGAAGATCGAATAAGAAATTAGTACTGACATAGTTTAGTCTCCATTATCAAAAATAATTCGCTGACATTCGGTCTGAGATACGCAGCTTATCATAACAACGTCTGAAAGCACGAAGGCATGAAGATGTATCTGTGTTAGAGGAAACTGACAACTGTAGTTGATAGCATAGTGTAAGAACATATGACTGGTAGACTCCATTTTTCTTCTACAGATGACCTTGATGAAGTGTCTTTCTCCTACTCTATGCGATTACCATATGAAAGTCTATTCATATTGAAATGCAGAATAATAACGACCAAGAAAAGGATGAAAACTATTGAGTTCGACGTTTTCTTTTCCTTGTCTATTTATTTCTTCTCTGTGACCTTTCGATACTGATAGCCTCTTCTTCAGGCCTACAACATGCTCTTGTTTACATACGTATAAATACACTTTCTACCGATTCTTCTCGTGTGTTCTCGTTCTTACGAGATAGTGTATCGGTAGGGCGGTGGCAGTGTGGAACGATTAGCAGTTATTCTTTTGCCGATTCACTATCTCGTAAGAACGAGAACACATGAGAAGAATCGACAGAGAAAGTATTTATATCTATGTAAATAAGGGCTTGTTGTAGGCCTGAAGAAGACGCTATCAGCATCGAAAGGTCACAGAGAAGAAATAAACAGAGTAGAAAGAGCAAACGTCAAACTCAATCAAATGGCCTTCCTACCAAACCGAACCAAATGAAAACTAGGTGAATTCCATTTTTTTTTAATGTTCGTTTGGGGTGCCTGATGCATATATGTTTTTACCTAGTTTATATTCATAGTTTCAAGTAATTACAGCGCGCAGGTGAAACTCAACCAAGTGGAAAAAACGAGAGAAGTATGTCTTCGAATATACACATGTCGAAGCAAAAAACAAAAAACATCGTATCCATTCGCGCCGATTATCTGGTTTTCGTTAGAAAAAACACTTTAACCAATATACACCCATGCTATTGCACAAAAAAGATATATTCTTGGCATCGTTCTATGATCATCTCGTTGATTTAATCGCATTACTATCGAAATGCATGCCTCTGTAAGAGGATTTCAATGGTCCGTTTCGTTGTTGTTATTCTCCGTAGAAAAATGCTCTAGATGATGTATATCTGTTATTTTCGTTATAGGCACGCTAGGTAAGGGCATATTTCGATACGATATTCTTAAAGGTTCATTTTCTTTTCAGATCATGTTTTGGATTCTTATCATACTGTCGATTCCACTCCTAATTACTTTAGGCTATCTATACCTAAAATGGAAATATTTTACTTTGCATGGGTCAGTTCCTGGCATGCAGCCGGAATTTTTATTTGGTAATCTTCGTCAACTTGATTTGATTACATCTAAGAAAGAAATTATTGATTCATATGTCCATGGTCTTGAAAAAATGCGAAATCGATACGGGGATGTCGTTCAATTTTGGATTGGTGCTAATCATTTTTATGCTTTCTGTCGTCCGGAACATGCTGAACAAATTTATAGCGCTCGTCATATATTTGATCGTGCTGCACTACGAAAAAATACATTTGGATTAATTGCTGAAAATGCTCTGATAGCACTTATGGGGCCTAAATACAAACGACATGCCAAAGCTGTTTTACCAATGTTGAGAAAAAATAAATTTCTATCACAAATTTCGATCATGACCAATTATGTTGATCAACTAATTGAGATTTGGAAAGAACGATATGAAAATAAGGATGAAATCATAGCTACGTGTATCATCGATGATAATCAACAATTATTATTAGATGTATTTACACGATTAACATTTGATTATGATTTTGGTAATTTAAAGCGTCTCCTTGAATCTGCAAGACAGTCGAATTCAGCAGAAATAGTGGGAACATCGAATTTTACTGCTGCATTAATAACGTGGCTAGATGCTTTTAAACGTGTTGGAACGAATGGAATGCCATTTTTGGTCAACTACTATCTATTGAAATTTGACAAGAAATATCAGAATGCTTTGAAAGTACTCGAAAGTTATGCCGAAAACATCATTTCCAAATGCCGTGAAGAAACAAAGGCCGATGCAAAGCCAATGATCTGATTGCTTCCTTAGTCTCATCATTACAACAAGATGAATCGGTTGAGAAATTCAAATCTGAAGAAGATCAAACAGGAATAACAAAAAAGGAATTGTTAGATGAAGTCCTATCACTGATCTTAGGTGGTTTTGAAACTACTGCTAGCGTTATATCTTGGATGATTTACTATCTCAGTAAACAACCTGCAATTCAACAAAAAATGAAAAATGAATTAAAACGGAATGGAATTACCAAAGAAACATCGTTAGAGGATCTCGATCTCTCCAATCAATGTGAATATATTGATTGTGTTATTAAAGAAACATTAAGAATAGCCCCATTGACGATTGGATCACCTCGAACAATAACGCAAGATACGGTGATTGATGGAATTCAACTTCGACAGGGAGAAAACGTTCTTGTGGCATTTAGTTTAATGTAAAATGATCGGAGATATTGGAATTTGGATCCCTCACTATTTATTCCTGAGAGATTCTATGGTGACGATGCTCCGGATAGAAATCATCATCCATATGTATTTTCTCCATTCGGTAATGGACATCGAGTTTGTGTTGGACAAGATTTAGCTCGATTAGAATTAAAAGTCATCGTCATTCGTTTAATGTTATTCGTGACATTTGCTGATGCACCGGGAAATAATGGAGGTCGTCGTCAACGATTGTCAATTATGCCAAAAGAACTTGCAGTTTATATGAAATTTGATTGATTTGAATTTTTGAATAGCGCGCATAAACAGTGTATTCGTCATTTTGGAACATTGAAAAACACGAGCAGATTCTACAAGTAACGTTCATCGGCTTCGGATTCACTCGTCCCTAGACAGAAGCTTAACTCAACCTCTATTAGTAGATGGATATTTTTTCCTTCCAAGATTGATGAGGGGTTTCAGCTCTTATACGATTTTTTCAGCACTCAAGCATCAACTTTATTGCATGGCCAGGAAAGCTTCTTCGGAGGGTATAAGCTACGTAAACACTCCCCTGGAAGAACAAAGACAATGAAGCACCATTCACAGATTGAAATAAAATCAACGATCAACCAAGGAATGGATTGAGGTTTCAAAACCGTATTCTAGACAGACCGGGAGCTAGCGACCACGAATGAGTCACAGCACTCGATGCTCGAACTACCAAGAGAACTAAAAAGGCGCGAAAGCGATCAATCAAGAGAGAAAGAGAGATCCTTTTTCATCTGACGTAATTAAAAACCTTCACTCTCCATAAACCTACCACAGATTCCACTGTGATTTTAAAAACGTGTTACAGACAGACACACTGACAAAATACATAATTTTACCGTTTGACAGGCCCTATCCTTTCAGTCTAGGGAAAAAATTGATCTCAGTGGTAAACTCTATCTATAAACTCTGGTTCTAATCAACAGAAATCGACTTGGGACTTTGGAAGATCAGTAGAGTAACGATGAGAAGTAGATGAACTTGTATTTCCAATAAAGACGGAAATTTTCGAGCGTCAGAACGGTTATTGTCAATCTCGACGACTACAATGTTCCGAAACCGGGTTGTTGAAATCTCAGTCATTTTCTTTCTATTGGACATCCAATCAGCAATTTATAGTGCTTGAGTTCTTTATACTCAACGTGGAATTGATGCTATTTCGTATGGTTCATGTTTCGTGGTCGAGTTCATGTTTATTGATTGTAACATCAGGTCTTGGAACATTGCAGTCGTCGAGGCTGACAATAGTCGTTCTGAAGGTTAAAAATTCCCGTCTCTACTGTTTCAAATTCATCTGCTTCTCATCGTTACTCTACTGATCTTTCAAAGTACCATGTGCATTTCTCTTCATTTAGTCTTCTTAAATTGTGACTTTTTTCGGTTGACATTGAAAATAGATTCTGGTTGAACTAATTCGAGTTTACCCTGTCCAAGCGAGATCAATATCTGATCGAAATTGTGATGTTTCTTTGCACTATCGTCGAAGCCAGCAACTATCGATGACAGTTGTCAGATCTAATGCAACAAATAATTTTATCTTTGCAATAATGTAGAATTGTAACTCTCTATAGCAAAATATGAGGTTTCTTTGGAGATGAGTAGAGTCCGGAACAGTAGAACCTACTAATAAAATAGGCAAAAACGGAATCTTCAAATTCGGATATTTGATACTCATCTTCGATACTAAAAAGCAGGAAAAGTATTGCAATTTGATTTTTAGTGCTGCTTGGTGCTCTTTGTGCAGTGTTGCGAGTTTCACAGTTGGACGTACCGGTAGCAAGAAATACATTCTAATCTTATTCGATTGAATAGTGTATGAAACGTTAGGGCGGGTCAAATTTTTTTTCGATGTTTTACCTATCCTAGCGGTGTTCTACGGGTCGTTTTAAGAAACTTTGCCCAAGGAACTATAGCTCTATCGTTAAAATCG